GCCACCCAAGGAATTCACACTGAAAAGAAGGCCGTTAACTAAGGGTTTGTTAAACCCACCCGCATGCAGATCTCTGCAGTCTGAAGCTTTGTAAGGCAACTTGCTTTTGTTCCTACAACAAAAGTGCTAACAACATGTAGGAGGAGCTGTGGCTCAGGGGCAGAGCCTCTGCTTGGCACGCTGAACGTCCCGGGTTCAATTCCCGGCAAAAAAAAATGAGCCAACCTTGCTGGGAGGGCAGGGTAAAAATCTAATGAAATAAATAATAATGAAATAAATAAAAAGGATCTGGCACCTAGTAGCAGGTGAGGTGAGGTGATGTGAAAGACCGCTACCTGGGACCCCGGAGAGAGGTTTCAAGACACAGCAAACAGTAAGGATCATAAGAGTCTCAGGATAACGGGAGTTCGTCTCTTCCTGTGAAGGGGAGGGGGTGTGGCTCAGTGGCAGAGCATCCGCTTGGCATGCAGAAGCTCCCAGGTTCAATCCCCGGCACTTGCAGTTGAAAAAGGCTCAGGTGAGGTACAAGATGAACAAACTCTGCCTTGGCTCAGTGGCAGAGCATCCGCTTGGCGTGCAGAAGCTCCCCGGTTCAATTCCCGGGATCAGCAGTTGAAAAAGGCTCAGGTGAGGTTCAAGGTGAACAAACTCTGCCTTGGCTCAGTGGGAGAGCATCCGCTTGGCGTGCAGAAGCTCCCAGGTTCAATCCCCGGCATCTGCAGTTGAAAAAGGCTCAGGCGAGGTACAAGGTGAACAAACTCTGCCTTGGCTCAGTGGGAGAGCATCCGCTTGGCGTGCAGAAGCTCCCAGGTTCAATCCCCGGCATCTGCAGTTGAAAAAGGCTCAGGTGAGGTTCAAGGTGAACAAACTCGGCCTTGGCTCAGTGGCAGAGCATCCGCTTGGCGTGCAGAAGCTCCCCGGTTCAATCCCCGGCATCTGCAGTTGAAAAAGGCTCAGGTGAGGTACAAGGTGAACAAACTCTGCCTTGGCTCAGTGGGAGAGCATCCGCTTGGCGTGCAGAAGCTCCCAGGTTCAATCCCCGGGATCTGCAGTTGAAAAAGGCTCAGGTGAGGTTCAAGGTGAACAAACTCGGCCTTGAGGCCCCCCCGAGAGCCACTGCCAGCCTGAGTAGACAAGACTCACCTTGGTGGACCGAGGGCCTGATTCAGTATAAGGCAGGCTAATTCTCTGCATAGGATCCAAGGGCTAATAGTAGCTGAGCCCTCAAAGACAGGCCCGGCCTCCTTTCACTGTTCCTTGTGCACACAGGCCCCCCCCCCCCCGCCCCACGGATCACCCATCTGAGCAGTGACGACCGACACGGGGCACTGCACCAGGGGAGCTCCTGAAGCCAAAGCTCTCCACCCAAGCTTTGATCGCTGCTCTCCATGGGGGAGTGGAAGGTGGGAGCAGAAGGAACCAAACAGGAGGAGCACAGGCCCATCCAACCCCCCCCCCCACCAATGGGGACAGGGAAATTATTTATTTACTTCACCTACACCCCAAGGGGGAGCCAAAGCCGCTTGCATGGTTCTTGTCCACAACAGCCTCATAAGGTAGGCTGGGCTAACCATGTGCGATTGGCCCAAGGTCACCCAGTGAGCTTCCATGGCCGAGCGGGGATTTGAACCTGGATCTAGTCTGACACTCGACCCCGGCGGTGGGGATGGGGAACAGAGGGAAGGAGCAGAAAGGCTGAGGGCTTGTCGCTGGCTCCACAAGAGCACTTCCTTGAACAATCACGATGAATCAGTCATGATCCGTTCTCTGGTTTAATCTCACCCATGTAGATTAAAACTTGTAGCTGAAGCTGGTGGCAGTAGCGGGGGGGGCAGTTCAGGGTTTTGAGCCACTCCAAATGAGGTTGTACCGGATGGTAGTGCAGGACAGTGCTGTCGAGTTGCACCCCACTTATGGTGACTGTAGAGTTTTCAAGGCAAGAGACATTCAGAGGTGGTTTGCCATTGCTTTCCTCTGCGTAGCGACACTGGACTTCCTTGGTGGTCTCCCATTCAAATAGTAACCAGGGCTGACCCTGCTTAGCTTCTCAGATCTCTCCGGATTAGGCTAGCCTGGGCCATCAAGGTTGGGATAGTGCACTTAATATTGCTTCCACCTGGACTGAATCGAGACCCAGGTTTCCTGTCTCATTACCAATGCTGATTTCTCCACGCCTACTACTCCTCTTCATATCACACCCAATCCAATCACGCCTGCCTATTGTCATCTGGCATCTGAAATCACTCCACTCTCCAAGATACCAGGACAGATGGGCTCAGGTTCCAGCTGTCTCCGAAGAAGTGAGCAGTGACTCAGGAAAGCTCCTACCCTGCCCCAAATTTTGTTCATCTTTAAGGTGCTACAGGACTCTGGCTCTTTACTGCCACAGACAGACTAACGAGAATACTTAATACTGCCTCATTATACAAGTGTGGCTGTGCTAGTTTTTATACAGAACAATACTGAATACATTCAGTTGCACCCAATGTTCCCTCTAAGCTGTAGAGTTCTGTAAGCAAAAATTCTACTTTGTGAGCTGCTGGCATTAAAAGTTGTGAGCTGGTGATTTGGCTACTGCATACATTAGTTTGCTCTGGAGCCATCCTTCCTGAGCTAAGACACAAATGTGTGAGCCGGAGGCTAAAAAAACTGTGAGCTAGCTCACACTGACTCAGCTTAGAGGGAACACTGGTTGCACCTTTTGAGATTTATTTTTTTTAATCTGTGAAGCCATTTCAGCTATTAGCTGGTTCCTCATAAAGCCCAACAGCCACTGATGTCTTGTTAGTCACTTTGTGTCTTTCCGGGGGGAAAGGCAGGCAAACAATATCAATGAATGAATGAAGCAGGTAATAGCTCTGCTTTCTGTAAACAAAAAGTATTACTTAGCTTTAAAGTTGCAACAGGATTTCCTTAATCACTGGCCTTAAGTGATCCTTAAAAGCTTTAAGACTACCGTCCTGAGAATGCTTTCCTGGGAGTAAGTTCCACTGAGGAACACAGGACTTAATTCTGAGTAGATCGGCTTCAGATTGCTCCCACTTGAATGTAAGGCTGATAAGCACCTCAGGACCTACTGAATTAGAGATGTTACTTCTGAGCAAACGCGCATGGGCAACACCTGCACCAATCTGCTTCCACTCTTTAGGATCTGGGACACCAGAAGGGCAATCTTATTTAGGATCAGGGTTAATTGCAACCAAGTGTTCCAGGCTTTGAAAGCAAGAACCGGTTCTCAGTGCCTAGGCTCAACTGCCAACGGAGGCTGCCTCTGTGCATGTACAGAGTGCCATTCTGTGACTCACCCAAAAGTGGCCACACACCAAATTACAAGGACAGGTGTGGTTTCCACAGGCCTGCCACTCCTCTCCCTTCTCTTTTACAAGGAGAATGCAGAAAACGGGAATATGGGGGTGGGGGTGGGGTTTAAGGTTCAGTCTTCGGGCCTACCAATAGTTCCGTAGAGTGGTTAGCGAGAAGTGGGGAGGAGATCCCAGGCACAAAACCCCTGCTAGTCACCAGACTTTCCGGGTGACCTTGAGTCAATCGTCCGCTCGCACTCTAACCTACCTCACGGGGCTGTCGTGCGGCGGCAAAGTAGTGCACCCCGCGCGAGCTACATCCAGAGGCGAGAGCGCTCCTGACCATGTGCAGAAGCCTCCTTGCTACATATGCTGGGACCGGGTGGCCGGCATGGCTTCCGGGGAGCCGGGCGGCCCGCCAGAGCTTGTGTGCTCCTCGGGGCCCGATCCGCGGTGTGCGTGGGCGAGCGGGACTCGGGCTGGGACCGAGCGGCCACCTGGCTGCTCGAGCGGGCCCTGCCACTGCAGAGAGTGACGCATCCTCCTTCGCCTCCCCAGAGCCGAGCCGAGCCGCCCCGCGGGGCTTTTCGCCGCCGAGCCTGGGACTCGATCTGAGGCAGGGGGCGCTTGTGCCCCGCCCCGCTGCCCCGCCGTGTCTCCCCACCCCCCCAGGGGCAGGGGGCCCTCCCCTCCCGCCCCCTCGGCCGCTGCTGCAATGC